TAGTGCTTATCATCAAATCAAAACATGTTTTGGTATTTTTTTGCAAATACGTCAAAATTAAAAATGAATTTACCTTAGTAGACCCTTTGCTCTGGTTCACCCTGTTTGTTAAGTTACCATGGTGATGTACCTTGAATTTGAGAGTCTACCTGTGACAAACTGAATTAAATAGACAGAAGGGCAAAAACCTGTGTACATAAGGCCCCACAGTTTCCAGTGCATGTCAGAGCAGAATCCAACCCATGAAGTCCAAGAAATTGAAGACCTCTACAATACAATTATGAGTGGTATAGATAAGAGCAAGACTATAAAATTACCTTTAAGTGTTTACAGGCGCACAGTGGCCTCTATAATTGTGAATCAACAAGGAATCCTATGGTTGACTTTCCCGCCAAAATGATTAACAGGGCAAGAAGGACCATAGTCAGTGAGGTACCATGATAACCCATTGGTTACTCTAAGGCAGAGATGTCAAACTCAAGGCTCGCTGGCCACTTCCAGCCCATGGTACAATTATATCCTGCCTGCGATAAAATAACATATGTCTATCTTAACTGGCCCGCTGGTAAATAGGACACACACTTTTTTGTGAAATAAAAGCTCCATAGGCCGAGCCACAGTGCGAAATGGCCGGGTAGATGCACACGAAGCGAGCGCTCCTCTCCACTCACTCGCCGAGTATCTGATGATATTACATTATTTTTCCAGCGTTCCAGAGATCCCAGTGCCTGCCCCGTCAAGTTCACCGTGACTCTCAAGCTTATCTCTCTCTCTCTTTTTCCTTCTGTCTTTCTCTCTCCATCTCGCTCTGGCCAGAGAGCCAGGCAGAGTGCACAGGCTCCACTGGCCGAGCCACGATGCGCAATTCCCGGCTAGACGCACACGGAACGAGTGCCCCTCCTCACCTGCCGAGTATTTGGCCCCGTCAAGTTCCCCCACACGCTTTTCTCTGTGATGAAGATGAACAAAAACCCACACAGGAGTCGTCTCACTGATGCACACCTTCACTCCATCTTGAGGGTTTCCACAGCACAGAACCTAACCCCAAGCATTAATGAACTTGCTAAAATCATAAATAAAAGAAGAATGAAGCCGAAGTATGTTTACTTTGCACTTTCTTCAATATCCTGTCTATCCTGTTTAATAACTGTTAACCTGTTTGGCCCTCTCTGTGACCGAGTTTGACACCACTGCTCTAAGGACATGTTCAGACGTGCTATTGACATTGGTCTTCGGTCATCTGATCACAAATTGACACCTCTAAGTGCATCACTTCACACCTGATGTGACCTAGAATGTGTATCCACATGCACTTGGAATCAATTCTCACTTCCCCGCTCTATAATACAAATACATGCGTCATGTCTGTTTGCAAAGAAATGAATTGAGATCCTCCTTCAGCGACAGGAAGGTTGTGAACATGTTCAGCTGGGGGATACATTTAGCAGACCTGAAACAATAGCAACAACAGACAATGCATCCAATAGACAATTGACCTAGTTAAAAAAGAAAAGTTTATTCGGCCTGGTGGACTCATGGCTGGATGTTTCCTAGATTCTAGATGATGTATTCCTATGATCAGTCCAAAAATGGCTGCTCTAACACACTTGGAGGTGTGTGAAGTGTCTGCAGAAAGTCCAGAGGAGCCTCGTGGTTCAGGCTCATGGTTGGATGTATTCTAGGTGATGTATTCCTATGATCAGTCCAAGAAACAAATGGCTGCTCTCTCCCCTCCAACCACCTCTCCAGGGCTAGCTTCATGACTAACAGTATTTCATCTCTGCTGAGTCTGGTGGAGACAAATGTGCAGGTCCCACAAGAACCACTGGGAGAGGCCCTGGCCTAATGTGACCTATAGTGTAAAGCACTTCAATTGGTCAATACAACAAGAAAAGTGCTATGTAAATGCAGTCCATTTACAGTGCATTATAAGTACTTGATACTCTCTCTCCCTCTCATGCTTTCCCTCTTTTATACATTGCCTTTATTACTCCCCATTCCTTGCTTTGTTTCCTCATCCCAAACGATAATTGTGTGTTTCCTTCTAATCGTTTCCATTTCACAACATGCTGCACTAACATGCAAATACCGTTAATAGAAGCAGCGTCTCCCTACCCCTTGTGTGTTTGTGCTTGTGTGTATGTGAGTGTTAGCTCAGTGGTGTGTGAAAGGTGGAGACAGAGGCGATATTTCTCCCAGACACACTCTGCTCCAGCTCTCTGACTTTGCCATATGGAGCCCATTACATCCATTTATGAACATATTACACTAGCCACACACACACACACACACACACACA